TCTTTCTAATCTTTTTATCACGAAAATTAATCTCTTGTCAACGCTACAACTTTGAAAACAACAGCAACAACAACAACAACACCAATAATAATGTCTATACGAATAACGATTGAAATGAAATGAACCACAATGCTAACCTTTGTTTGAGTCATTTCTCTGCCATGTGATACAGTAATGTTCGAAGAGCACTGCACAAATAATTGGCAAATGCTGTGAATGAATCGCTGTTGCAATCGAAGTGACCACTGAGAGTCGACGATGAGCGGGCATATCGAGCATTGAGGCGGACAGAATGCGAGACACACTCACCAGACGTGTCAGCAGTGCTTCACCCTGAAACAACATTCTCGATTCTTCGACATCATCTCAGAATCAATTCAGAGAATTTCATTTTTCAGTTGCGAGCATAATTAAATTATCCAATGCACTGCTCAACTGCGAACGACTCGTAATCACTGCGTAAATTTCAACGATCTTGTCTACACAATAGATTTGCACATCTCACAAGAATCAACGAAAACATTTCTATTCAAATATTGCAATACGAAGAGATAAATAACCTTTTCGTCCATAATCGCACCAAACAATGCGTTCAGTGTCTGNCCATAAACGTGAACACTGACATCATATGCGATATTACCGAACTCTAAATTCATTTAATTCATAACCAATCTCGTACCACGCGATTAATTGATCACCAAACATAACTGATCATTTTTACAACTGAACCTTCAATCGATTCAAGCACCATCAAAAAAAAAACGACAACATAATCGTGTATTCCATTCCAATCTAATGATTATCACTCAAAAGCCATGCAATAAATTAATAAAACAATCCCCCTCCCAAAAAAAATAAAAATAAACAACGAACCGATGATATGTGAACAGCAGCAGTGAGAAGACTTAAACAACTTCTCAATGTGTTATGATCACGCGTTCTGCGAATCGTCTCCACCACACAATCCAATTGCAAATCTTGTTTTGTGATTTTGTATCCATCTGAAAATCATCATTAACTACACTTTACGAAAAAATTCAATTCATTACAGATTCAAATGAACGAGAGTTTTGTTGAGAAATTCAAATCAACAAACAATTTTTTCATACGATTGATTAAAACACCAAGCGATCATAAGCTAACATGATCGTCATCAACGCCATCTGTCATGAAACGAACGCAAATGGTTCTGTTCAGATACGTAGATGACGAACGTGGATGTAAAATAACTAACGCGGTTCTTTGAGAAGTCGAACGAGCAGCGATACGACCAATTGCTGAATATACGAATGTGTTGAATGCACTTCATCGCTATCGTTTGAGTTCATACTCCTGAAAATTGTATTATCGAATACACACTCATAACCAATTCATCCTTCACTGTTAATGATGAAAACTTTTAAAAAATCTTCCAATAACGGAAAAATCATTACATTCCAATACGATTTGTGTATCATTCAATTGTTAATCATTTACAACAATCACTATTTAACAACCTCAACAATAACTAACAAAAATCTCAATAACAACCTCAATAACTTTGTGATATTTTTAAAGAACGATCGAACGAGTGATCGAAAATGATCTAAACTGGAGAATTTTAAAACAACCACAATAATCGAATGAACAGAATTCAATTCACTAACAACGAGATAAATGAATACCTCTGAAATTTAATAACGATAAACTCACATTTTGAAGATGTCAAATAGAATGACAAAGATTTGCGATGATGCTTCCAACTGTTGGTTGGCACTGAGTAATTCCAAAACAAACTTAACACGATTCAAATATGCGTTCTCGTCTTCGTCACGAAATATTTCGTTCTTTCTCAATGATACATCGTTGTTTTCAGCACGTTTTCGTTTTCCTTCTGGCTCAACAGAAAATCGAGACAGCAACACGCAAGCCAATTCACATTTTATTGGTAACTGAAAATGATTATTAATTCCTTCACTCTATTATCACTTTCGTTATCACCAGTGTTTTTATGAAATCATTATGAATAACATACTTCAACAACTCTATCATTACAACATACAGTAAAGAAACAAGATAATAATACGAATCTAAAAATACACCGTGC